TGTCAACCTAGCTAAATTTTTCTAAGTTGACAATACTAATATATTAGAAGCTAGAACTCCCAAAAAATCAACAATTCTAAATACAATTGTTGAAATGATCTTAAAAGAGAATTCATCTACTAGGATTTCTTAGTATTTCTTCACTATTTGTTCCATTTTAGAATCTTTAGATTTCTTAGTAAATCTTAACTATTCGTTCCATTTTAGAATCTTTAGTGCCTTCAATTGTTACTTAGATTCTTCAAAAGATTACTGCAAGTGGGTGAGGATAATTATATGTTTTGCAATTTGTACTGATCAATTATTTAAAAAAAAAAAAAAAAAAAAAAAAAACACATAAAACTGATTTTATTTAGATTGTTAATAAAAATTGAACCTTGGTCACCAAGTCCGGGTCAGGCTCCGAGATTCGACACCGGACTACAATTGGTGTTGTCAATCTCTACGTTAGTGGTGGGCTGGATGCGACCCTGCAGTCTGGACTGGTAGGCTCCGATTGCGACGGAAAGGGCTTTGTCGCCGTTTGGTTGTCTAGGTTGATGCGTCACAGCGGACAGAGCGGACAGCGGCGGAGACCGACGGTACCGTGCGAGATGTGGAAGCTCGGTTTGTTTTTCTGGATCAATACAAGGCTCAGACGACGCCAATGGGAACTGTTTAGTGAATGCTTCAGTTCTGTCGTCGTTGCCCATGCTGGAGCGTGCTCGGCACTGTGCTTGCCATGTTCATGTGACCTTTTTTTCGAGGCTTTTCTGTTGGTATGTAGATGGTGCTCAGCAGATGATTTTTACATGGACGTTGGCTCTAGCTCGGACTCTGAAAATGAGGTTAAAGACTTCCACAATCGAGGTGAATGCAAGGCCTTCAGGATACCGAATATTATGTTGGAGACAACTCCGACCGCAAGTTCATCTTCTTCGACTAAAAATGGCTAACGAAACTATTGACACAGTAGTGCGTCTCTTGCATTCACGTTCTGTACAAAATCTAGTACTTTATGTAGATCATCCGGATGGATCGATCTGTTCAGTCTATTAGTTCGCCATTGCATTACGCAACGCTGGGGTCTGTCAGGGGCCAACTTTTTGGATTAGGACTAAACTTTCATGGTTACGGGTCAAGACTTTTCACGCGTCTGGGATGCGTGGATTCTTGGAAAAGGCTGTCTTTCGAATATTGTGATCATTGTGAGTTTTCTCCAGTTCCATTCACGCGTTTTAGTGCGAAGATTACGCATCAATATGAGTCTATTTTATTGGGGACTTCGAGTTCGACAAGCTTTGAATCCTAAAACCTGCCGAGGCTGTGAACTTCAGGAACATGGCGGAATGCGCAGTACTGGAAAGATGGTGCCGCACAGGGAGGAGAGAAGTGCGAGCCTGTAATGAAAGTTAGGTTTTCCCTTCGCTGATCCGCCATTAATGGGTACCTCAAATAAGTGATGCAACAGGTGAATAAACTGACAATGAACCCAGAAGGCGACTTCTAGGGGTACAAAGCATGTGTCAGTCAGTGAGGTACGCAGACCCACATCTTACGTTCTTTTATGTCGTTGTTGTTCAGGGTAATGGTTCGGTCCTATGGTGCCAATTGTTTCATTTTATCTTATTTTATTTTTGTCTTGTATGTCAAACGTAAATTGTGAAATGATTTGATTTCATTCATGCTGTTGAAGGTGAGTGTATTTGTTGATTCACCCCCTTCTCAAGGTAACGCTGCACGGAACACCCGGAAACAGTACAGGTGTACAGAGCTTTCCACTATGCTGATTCTTATTGATTTGTTTATTTATTTATTTTCTTCTATTTTGAATAAGCACATACTGTGGTCGGAAAAGATGGAATCAGGTGATGAACGAATTCTATTTGCGGTAAACCGTTTTGTAAAACTATTTCCATCCTTGCCTTCTCAACGGATGCAAACTTTACATTTGTATCCATTTACAGCCACAGGGTCAAAACACATTTTACTTAACTACGGGATTATCAAGAGTTTCGAGTGGGCTGCAGCGGCCGACCTTCCTTCCGGGATCATCGAGGAGTTTGTGAAAGAGCACTAGGTGCAGGCGCCACAGCAAATGGAAACCTCCCAAGGTGACCATACTGAAAGATGGCTCATAAATTCTACTCTATCTCAACGTCCTGTCCTCGCAGGGTTTCAACGAAGTCGAATGCAACGAGAGCGATCGGTGAACTGGTTTGATTTAATGGCACAGCTTTGGCAGATTCATAGCCGTGGGATGACAGTTGACATGGTGCAGATTTCCCTAATCTCGCATCCCACACAATACTGCCTGGCACGTGTGTGGTGGCCAAGAGCTTTTGCAGCGTGGAGTAAGCCCTACGAGGGGATTAGGGTGGGTTGATGACGGCATTGAATGGTGGAAACACGTGGGGCCTGACAGAAAGGAGGAGGATGAGGATGAGGAGCCAAAACCATGATGGGAGGGGTCATTGACGGAGTCAGTCCCGCGTTGATGGCGCTTGTGGTCGGCATCCTTGGAAGTAATAGTTGGCTTGTGTGTATTGAGTGTGGCGATGCTATCTACTCACTTACCCATGCTGTTGTGTTTTTTTCTTCATCTTCTTCTATGATTGTTCGTTCGACTTAAACTCGATGCACGTGGGAGGGGTGGGGATTCCTCTGCACTGCAGTGTCCATGTAAGAATTTGCGCACATGAGTGTGCATGCTGTCAATCCACTAGCGCAAAAGAAATTTTCCCCAGCTCAGCGATCCATGTATACGGAGGGCTGTAGGCAGGGCGCATAGAACCTTCGTCAACACCTCCTGTAGATCCACATGAATGGTGTTCACTGAGAGAAAAGCCTTTTCAGCCATGGATTCGACGACATTGTTGGATCCCACACATTGAAGAGGGAACCTGAATTCATGGGCGGGGGGATGTTACACTGACCCTTGAAGTGGCCTCTGTTTTCTTCCCTCGTCCGAATTTTAGGGTTTGTCCTGAGTACTTAGATAACAGCGAATGCCAACTAGTGTAAGGGGAGATCCTTATCAACTGAGAGACCAAGTTGACAACAATATGTTCTGACAGGCTCTCTGATTGAAGGGTGGACAGTAGTGATGAGCTTCGACGACATGTCATGCGAAGAGGACTTGGCTGCTGCGTATGAGGTGCAGTAAAAGCGCGGTGAGTGGACTGATCGTCCCGCATTCAAGACGTGGACTCTATGGAGGCTTTAGAGCTCTAGGCACTGAGGTACTTGCTCAATGATCTGCAACAGTTGCACAGCTTGATGTGACGATTCTGCAGGATTCATTCTGCAGGGCGATTCATTCTAACACTAGTTGCTGTTGTTGTTTGGTGGTGGTTGTGGTGGTGGTATTGTGGGCCAGTGAAGACTGAGGAGAACTGAGCGTGTGTGATGAGTCTATCGAACCAGATCCGATTCTATTGTGAATGCAAAAGCACAACCAAATGGTCCGGGAACCCCAGCTCTGATGAAGATTCCAACATACCCAGGGACGATAGATTCATGTGATCCTCACATCAGCCTCAATCACAGAAGAACATACAAAAAAGCCATAAGGCAAAACAAACAAAACACAATACAACAAGAAACAAACAAAAACATAAAATAAATGATAAAATTATATAATAAAACAAACAAACAACCACAGAACCAATAAAGGGATGCAAATGGATATTCTATCATATTCAAGTACCTGCGGTGAGAGCCTTCAAAGCACATCCTTATCTAATTGGTCACATGAAAGACCACTTCAAGTTGTTTTAATTGATGCATAAATTATGATACTGAATAATTTAAATACTTAATAGCTTGTAATTTTGAATACTTGTTAGCTAGCACACTGTAAATGTTTTTGCAAGCTAAAAAATATTTGAAAAATTGTATACATCGTGTCATGTATTAACATTTTTTGTAATTATTGCACACTCAAAATGTAGTAGTGTAATCTTAAAGATTATCATGTTCTTTTTAATTCATAACAATTCCAATCATCATTGACGTTTAATCTGAAAAACTGTAACAACACTAATTTAGAATTATTCTTGTAAAAGTACACAACCATCTAGAATATTTAACATTTAACCAGTTAGCAAGCAATATTTTCTTAGAAGCCAATTTCATATCTCTTGAAATTAAATCCACGCAATTCACATTCAAAGCAATAGAAATAAAGATCACGACGTCATCCATACCAATACAATAGATGGATAGAGTTTTTGTAATGCTAAATTTCAGGCTTTCCAACTTTGTCTTTTGTGATTTCAGATTTCGGCAAAAATGAACATTCTGACTAGTGTTGTCGTTGAAGGCGTGAGATGGGCCTGATTCCACCACAGTGCTCCCCCCGATCAAAGCAAATATACATCTATATATAATTGTGTTTGAATTTGTGATTTTTTCTTCCTCGTTATTTATTTGTTTATATTTGTGTCTACTGCATTTATCATCATTTGCTCCGATACAGATGCATGCAGTAATTGATCACTGCTAGCAATGCTGCAGATTCCGTGTAGACACGAGATGGCCAGGTCAGGTGACTCTGCCGGATTTGATTCCTGAATCGTCCGGGCTCGTCATCATCCACTGCTTCAGTCCAATTTAGAACCATCTGAAAGAACACCGCAGGAATGTTGCACTTGTGAAGATCTAATGTGGGTCAGTTTACTGCTGTTGATGGAGGGGGGATTCGCCAAGTGAAGCGGCAACAGTAGACGTCTGATGCGAAGCTTATAATCAAGATGAGCCAATGTATCCATTCAAGTTGCGCCTTGTTTCTCTATATGGCCATCAGTCAAAATATAATGGTCCTAGGGAATTAAAAGAAAGAGAGTGAGTGAGGATGACTTAGTATTGGGACTGACTTTTAAAAGTACTAGACTTTAAGCCTTTCTTAGAACTGCATAAGCCATGAAGAGTTATAGCCTCCGTTTGCCCTTGTAAAAACGACTTTAATCTTGAAGAGTACTTTTTAGCGTGTCATACTCCAGTTTATTTCCAAACAGAGATGAGTGAAAATGTAGTAAAGAACTCTTCAAGAGAGGAGCAATTTCCAACTTTACAAGGTCTGCGTCGTTAAGTTCTTCAGCGTTAAAAATCCCTAGGACGCGGACAAGTGATATTTCTAGATGAGTCAGAGACGACGGATTAGCTGAACAGGCTTGTGAAGTTGAGCAGACAAGCGTGCTCTTCGACTGTGTTTTGGTTGAGAAGGTGAATGGAGTATTGAGAGAGGTAAGGGGTTCAAGGATGTGGGTACTAGGTATTATGATGATGAATAATTTACGATTTGATCATTACGATGGATTTATGATCAAGGTCGCCGGAGCAACCGCAGCAACCTCAGATAATACCTCAGATAATGCCATCTCTGGATTAATGTTATGCTAAGCTACACTCTATCAGGTCCCTGCATCCTCACAACTCATCCTGAAGCAGACGGATTTTTCATTTGATTAAATCCTCCCCCTGGTTGTCACTGCTTCCAAATTGACCCAGCAACTTATTTATAATATTCAGGGGCTTTGTCAACCTGAACAGCTTCTGCCAGTATGTGGATTCACCATGAAATTGATGAACACCGTACTCAATCTGCAATTAGTTAATCAACCCCTTCTCTAGATCTTATATTGTTACATTACGTGACCCGATAAGAGGTCAGATCTGATCGAGAACGGCAGCCATTCGTTGCAGTTCCTGTGACATGGGTGCCACGGAATCGAACATGGCATCTTGCCCTCCATGACTTGCGTGCATCTGCCAGTTCATGCAATGCGAGGTGAGCGTGAACTGCACATTGCCAGACGAACCATTCCCCAGTGGATGGTCCATTTGGGACTGGCTCAGCTGGTCTGCATGATTCTGACGAGGATTGTGCTCGTGATGTTGAACTGGTGCATTTCTCGCCGAGGCAGGCAACTGATCAATGCAATGGTTCTGCCCCTGCGTTGGCAGCAACGCACACCATTTCATGACTGTATCGCAATCCGAAGGTTCGTGATTTGAGGAGAAGCGACTCCTAGTGGATGGCTCTTCTGTCGTCTGAGCTGAAAGACTACAAGATTTGAGGGCGCTTGGCGAGGGATCGGTATCAGCACTTGACCAGGGTTGGTTGCCACCAGTCTCCTGGAACATGAGATGACTGCCAGGGGGACTAATACCCGTCTCATTGCTGGTGCTGCTACTGCTCGGTTCACTGCCATTGTGCCCCTCCCACCGAAACGGTCGCTGAACGCGAGCATTGCCGACGTTCACGGCATCTTCATGAGCTGGTCCCGCCCCCGACCGCAGCTGCAGATTTGCAGTGATAGAGCTCAAGTCTCCTGGGTCCTGCAACAAATCCTGGAAGCTCCCACCGTGGTAGTCATGGGATGTTCCAGATGAATTCGGAGCGAAGGGACCCAGCCGCATCTCAATCTCGGGAGCTCCATGCTGGGCATGCACAGGAAATGGGTCACTGCCCCCACCTCCGGGTTCGGAAGAGGACACAGCTCCCGATTGCAACAGCCAGAAGACGGGGTTGAAAGCTGGCGGTACCAGTGTGGAAGGCTGATGGATGGGCTTCGGCCCATTGTCATCCCGATCGAGGCTACCAGTCAGGTGCGGCATCCACGAAGGCGCCTTCGGAGGCAGCCCCCGGCTGTGCTTCCCGGTCATCATGAGCCGCTCAAGAAGATTGTCGGTAGACAACCCGTTCCCCTGTAGCTGGTTGAAGCCCATGAAATGTCTATCTCTAGGGGGCTGCTGGTGGATAAGACTTCTGGTTGGATTGTACATCACCTCTTCCATGGGGATGAAGGGGTTGTGGGAAGCTTGCGGGTGGAATAGCGACTGCGCTTTGAACTCGCTATTGGTGAACCTGACAAACCCCGTGGAGCTACCGGTGATGACGTGCGAGTTCGAGGAGGTTGATCTGTGGCATTCGCTTTTGGGGTTGATCTCGCTAGAGGAACTCTCACCGAGGAACGCCGATGAGTCTGAGCCAACCAGCTTGTGTGTGCTAGGGTCGATGCCGATGTTGCGAAGCTTCTTCTTGATACAGGAGTTCCAGAAGTTTTTGATTTCGTTGTCGGTGCGGCCTGGTAACTGAGTTGCAATCTGAGACCACCTGCATGCAAGGGGATCAATTGCTGCATTAGCCCAACTAGCAGGGGGGGGGGGGGGGGGGGGATAGCTTATTACCAACATGTGACCTTATCGTGTCTCAGTGGGTGAAAAAATCTCTATTCATGCAGTCCTAGAGTGAGCTTCGTCCCTATTCATGCGTAACTCGATAACAAATTAGCCAAAATCCCTCAAAGGTGGAGTCAACATACGTGCATTTCCCTCTCTTTCTTTCTTTCCTTCTTTCTCTCTCCCTATATATGTATATAAGAACATATATGGTAGTGTTGGGGTGATCGAGATTCGTTAGGTCAAGCAGGAGATGTGGGTGAAAGGTGAATTAAGGTGTCGAGACTGAGACCTGTTACCAAGAACAGCATGTAAGTCGATGATCAAATTCTCTTCTGCCGCTGAAAACACTCCTCGTTTCAAATCCGGTCGGAGATAATTTATCCACCGCAGTCTGCAGCTCTTTCCACACCGTTGAAGACCTGTTACAGCAATTGTGTGTGATCGACGAAATAGACATTAGTTTTTTTAAATTCAATGTATAAAAATAGTAAACTGATTGGCAATCAAGAAAACTTTCTGGGGAAAGTGTAAACGGCCTTCGGAAAATCCAGCCTCTTGGCTCATTTGAAAAATAAATTACATCAGATAAATGATTTATAGCGCTATGAACAAAGTATTGCAGCCATGCAGTACGTATTATACGAGGACAGGCCTGGTAACCTCTGTCGAGGTTCTTGAAACAGAAAAGAAATAGAAAAAATTAATCAATCAATGCAGCTCTCAAAGCTTCTGGTAATTTAAGCGATGGGAGCTTCTGGTTGTTAACGCAATGTATTCCTTGCATGATTCCGAATGCCTGTTCTAGAGTATTTATCCTCCGACACAATTCCACAAGAGTAACCTGTGCAGGCAGTGTTCACGACTGGCAACGCGTTACCCAAGTCGAGCCTTGCCGCAAATGCGAAATGCGCTGGATTCTTGCTCGGAGATGAATAGCCAAAAGTTTCTCGTCTAGCATGCAATTCTACAGAGTGATTTAGCTCCACCGAAGAAAGGAAATTGTTCCTTAGGAACACGAACAGGTCGTCAAGAACGACCGGCCCGAAGCAGGAAGGGGAGTTTACTTTCTTAGGCTCGACTATTGGAAGCTCCAACTTAGGTATATCGACAATTTATGCTGTTTTTGTGTCAACAGCACAAGTTTACAGTAATTTCGTTTGCGTGGCAACAATTATCAATGATCCATTTTACAATCTTTTCGGGAGTATGTCACGCCGATGATCAGCCTATGCAAGTTCTTTCCATCAATTCCTTTCTCGTTATTGGTGGAGGAAACTAAGGTCAATGCTTCAGGACATGAAATTGACCGAAGAACCGAAAGAAGGAAATGAATTACAGATGGCTCATATCGTCATACTAACAAAGACATCGTAACAGGTCATTAACATGCCCAGAAGAGGTGAGGTCGATGACAGTGAAAGTTTAACGGCGAGATTTTAGCTAGAATTCATCGAGGAGATGGCGGTGCGGCCACTCCATTGATCATGTAGACGGCTGAGTAGCCTAGTTTAGGGATGAACTCACCAGCTTGTTTTGGGACGACGCTCCAGCAGCCATGGCCATGCTTGGTTACGTAGCGCACCAGTTTCTCATCTTCTTCAGGAGACCAGAGCCCCTTCTTCAGTTTTTGTTTGTGACAACACGAATGACGGCCCATGATCCTTATATCTCCTACCCCTGTTGATCTCCAGCTCGTCTACCTTTCTTAATATCTAATTCTTCTTGTGTCATCAGGTCTCTATAGCAGCGCCTCCACAATCGCTAAGAATTGATTTCCTGTTGGACAACAGAATCAGCACTGCGGCTTCGCAACTAGACTTCTAACTATTTATTGAGCACTTCTACATTAGGATCAATTATATCGACTTGAGCTGCTGATAAATGGCATGAATTCGCACTCCCGTAGTCTTGAGCTAGGGTCTAACTGCACTCCAACGATGCCGGTAGCGCTGAAATGCGACTAGAGCATCCGAACCCAAAACTCAATTCGCTTGACTACCACGGCCGGCGACCGTCACGAGATTCTGAACTCGTCTGGAAACACCTGCGATTCAACTCAAGAAATGATCTTCCTCGAACTAGATGATCACTATTTTTAAGTTGCACTCTACAACCTACGTACCATAGAAGCCCGACTCCACGGCATCTATCATGCGCAACTTGATATAACCCTTAGACGATGGGCAGGAGCCACGACGTTCCTGTATGTTCAGAACCGATCAGACTAGCGAGACTGCAACGCAAAATCTCCTCTGAACTCAACAGTAGCAGTGCCTATGTCATGAACCACCCGAACCAGATGCACACGCCACCTCCTCCGAAACACTTAATCAGTGCTAATTAAGCTAACCCTGGAGTTACAAGAACCTAGAAGAGCCCAGAAGGCCAATTCTTGATGATCTCTGAGAGTTTATGGAGCAAGATTTCGCAGGTACTCCTACTGTTTCCGAGAGACAATGATGTCATGGCATAGAGCAGCAGAGAAATAAAACCATAACCAAATTCCCCTTCCATTCCATTCTTCTCAATTTATGTTTATCGTCTAGCTGGAAGATCGTAAAGGGAGTCGCCACTCATGATCACCTCCTGTGGGCAAGTCCTTCCAGTAATGGTTCCCTTTCCGACCGGCTAGCAGCTGGACCCATTGCCTGAATGGGCTCCGAAAGAGAATGCATGAAGCTCTTCAAGGCAAGGATTTGAATTACTCTCTCTCTCTCTCTCTCTCTCTCTCTCTCTGTTTCCCTGTCGGAGGCATTATGCGCTCAAGCGCTGGTGGTTCCGATCACGTCATGAAACCCTGAGGTTGATCGAGACGCGCATGCGAGAGAATATGTCCTCTCTGAAGCAGTCGCACGCGATCCGCCTTGAATAGGATTGTAAATGGGAGAAGAAACTTAACCAGAGTGGGACCGGGAGCCCAAGGTTTAGCATGTGTATGCAGGCTGACTTGGTGAAGACCGTGGCCGATCTCTATTTGTGACAGCTTTCGCCCCGGCCCGCTTCGCTCACTTAATTAGAGGCATCCGAGCTTTCTGGCGCTTCGAAAACGACGTCTTCGACTGTGCGCCGGAGAAATCCCGCGAAAATCTTCACTGAACGAGGTGACATTGTTTCGGAGCACTCAGATGAGTCACAACGGAATCCGAACCTGCCAAATTACTTCGATTGGTATTCTTCTTTGTATTTCCTTTATTTTTCTTTTCATTTTTTTGCTATTTGTCTCACTCGATCAATGTAGTCCCCGGAAAAGTGCCGTTTGGCTTCATAACGAGGTAGCAGCAAGCTGATGATTCCATGGATGGTACTCTCTGACCCCTTTCCAATGATCCCGAGCATGAGCAGACAGGTCTTGTCTCCCGGGATGCACGTTTTCGATCAGTCGATCGCCCGCAGTAAAGCCAAGCTTAAGTCGACCTCCTTGACACACAGGTTAATTTTTCATCAACTGGTACGACCTTAAATAACCACGACCAAACACTCACACTCTGCAAAACTGTATCATGCCGACCGTTTCCAAGATGGTGAATTATGCCTGCGAACTGGTGTTGGAATCAGAATCGTCGGGCACCACCCTGCAACCTGGACATGATGAGCCCGGTACACTGTGGACCGCAGCAGCATCAATTGGAACCTCTACACAGAACCGTCGTCGTCGTCGTCGCCCCGAGGTGCTCATGGGCCAGCCAAAAACACAAGTCCGGAGCCGGTATTTTACTTTACGTTGACAATGTTCATCAGGTCTTCCAGCTCTCCACACTCTTTCCTCCTCTCGCAATCTCTGCACCTCTGGACCCCACTCTGCATGATTGCCAAGGCCCTTGCAAAGCCTTATACACGCGCTGAGTCGATCGACCAGCTGCAGGCCAACATCCGTTGCCAGGCGGAGTACAGACAGCATTACCCACCCTACCCAGCAGCCGGGTTAAGTCAAGCTTTCCCAAACCCCTTAGTACTGCAGTCCACTGGAGGTAAAAAGACGATAAGCGATTAAAATCCAACTAAATAAAAATAACCTACCTGGTTAGTCTGATAAGGCGAAGTGGCTCATGAATAAGCGGACAATCTGACAACTTGCCAACGAAGCAACTCCAAGCGGGGGCGGGAGTGAGGTGTTAGACTAGCAGTACGACTATTACTACTACTGGTATGAGTAGGATGGAGCTCGATCGATCTTGTGGCAGTTGCGACAGAGGCACCGTCTGTACAGACGGGTACGAGGAGGAAAAGGGGATATGAATTCAATACAGCAGTAGACGATCATATCATACACATATCATCTCCGAGGTGAAGGGTTTTATGCCCTCTGTCCCCGCGATGGGGGTCCAGGGCTGCTAGGTGCCTGCTGCCCACCTGCCCCATTCCCACTCGGCGTAGATTACAGCCTGCCCCTCGCCGCTGCGACCCAATCCTGCAACCATAATCCACTGCAGCAGCAACAGCAGCAGCTTCCGTAGCAAAGACCTGGCTGACAAGACCCATATTCTACGTTGCACAAGACTCAGTTGGGGTCTTCTGTAGAGCCTCATTTGATGAGTGAATGAGGGAGGGAGTGAGTAATCTCTTGTGTAATAAAATCCATTCTTCACTACTTGAATGGCGATTATTCATAGATGCGTTCATTGCCTTCTTCTCATCACCACCATATTTTTATCAGTGTGGGTATAAAGAATTGAACTTTGAAAATTTGTGTGATAATTTTGGTTTTAAGTTGTAATACAAGAATGCATTTCGAAAATGATAATTGTAGAGTAAATATGACTGTGTGGTCCATTTATTTTTTAATGATTATATATATATATATATATATATATATCTATATATATATATATATATATATATATATATCAAAATATGATTTTAAAATACTTGAGATTAACTTTACTTATATACAAAGATTTTCCAATAAAAATAATATATACCTTAAAATAGTTCGTTTTAAAATTATTTTTTATAATTAAAATATTCACAATAAGTTTTTAATATATATATATATATATAACCAGTAAATCAATTTTTAAACTGTTTAGTCTCTATTTTTATTAATTAATAATACTGTTATGTCTTTGTTAATAATCAGTTGTTAGTATCTGATTGTATACTAACTTTTGATGATATCGACTTTATATTGTATTTACATATGTTTGAAATACAATATAAACTAATTTCGAGATAAATTGCAAATTATGCTTTTTGACAATGTAATTTTTTATTTTTAAACTAACTAGTTTTACTTTTACATAAGTTTTTCTTATTCCATCACAATACTTCTCCATCAATGAGCATGTTTGTCATAAACTATGTGCACAAGATTCTTTTTCATTGCATCTTATAGTAATTGCATATATTCCACTTAAATGAAATCAAATACTAAAACATTAACCTTGAAAAACCAAAAAGCATAATACTAAACAATTTTCACATCAAATCTACGGTCAATCAAACACAGCAAAGAAGCAAACATTAAAAACCTAAACCTAAGACTTGCCATTTGTGTTAGCATGTTATAATGTTTAAATTTTTATTTTCTTTCTAATGTTGTTGTCAAATTATTCTTCCTCCAAACTAAGGGTACACTTTTTATTGTTTGTGTTTTTATTTATATATATATATATATATATATATAAGAAAGGAATGAGTAAAAGAGTGCAACAGAAGCAAGAGAGACCATGAAAAAAAGTTATGTAAAGGGGGAAAAAGTAAAAAGAAAAGAAGGAAAAAGGGAAAGGAATAAAAAGGAAGGGAGAAGGGAGGCACCAAGGGTGTGGGAGTTTAGGAGTCAACATTGGAGCACCATGTGTGGCAACCTCTCCTCCACATGATGGTTTGCTTCTTGCCCCTCAAGGGGATGTTGTCCTTTTGTGGCTTCAAGCCCCTCTCTCCTCTCCCTTTGCCTACAAAGACCTGGAAAAATATTATATATATATATATATATATATATACAATTAGACCCAACACCCAAGTAAATATATATATATATATATATATATAGAGAGAGAGAGAGAGAGATACACTTTATGGTGCTCCTGAATGTGTGGTTCATTATTAGAAATTAAGGATATATATAGTTATATAAATATGACTAACAAGTTACGTGTATTTTTTTAATCTCTGTGAATAAGCAATGGCTAAAGCAAAGGATGAGGTGGCAGTAGTGGGAATGAGCCCAACTCATCCCCACCAAAATCCACGTAATCTCAAGATTCAAATGCATTATAAATAGATTTAGTTGTTCTAAGAAAAATGTAGGGCTTACTAGATATCAGATTCAGGTAGCACAGCTTATGGGACTCATCCTGGACACTTGTACCCACTTCATTAATTTAGACCACATTGTTTTCTTACATAAAAAGTTTAATGATTACCATAATAGTTGCAATGGAAAGAAATAAGACGTCTTAAATATTGTAATGTAATTTTCATTACTGATTTATGATTTTAGTTTTTACTAAGTACAAGTGAATGACATGTTAAAAATGTATGTATATATATATATATATATATATGTAAGTTGGATCCTTTTTGTTAAGGAATGTGTAGTGCTTGCTTTTAATTTGATCTTCTTAGATGATCTTTTTGAAGATTGAAGGGTAGAGGGTGAGGCATATGAGTGAGAATGTACAAAGCAACCTTGAGGGTTTTAAAATTTTGGTTTTGGGATTGTATTGCTTTTTGGTAGTCACACATGCCTTGTGTTATACAAGAATAAACTTCGATTAAAATCCTTCCACTCTTAACTTCCTAGAGGATATTTCAAATCAAAAAAAAAAAAAAAAAAAAAAAAAAACAGATGAAATTAAATTTTGAATTCGAATTTTAATTTCAAATTAAATAAAACTCATATCATGCTTTTTTTAAACTATTTACAAACAAAGTTATGTAGTTCTTCATCTCTAGGCAATCCAAGCAAGCAATCCATTGAATAGTTAAATTATCAGTTTTCAATCGTTTCAATTGAGGGTTGATGTATTTTTTCAGAGAGTGTGCATTAGTTTGTGGCAATTAAATTATCTGTCATCAATTCTAGATGATGATTTCAAATCTTTCTGACAACAAAACTAACAAGTACCTAAGGGTTTCAACCAGATTTTATCACGACCATTACATTAATATTTTATTTTTATTAACAATGAGAACAAGAATAAATACAAATTTTGAGTCACATTTTTATTGTAATATCAGTAAAAACACACATATAGAAAAAATTATTAGTGTTGTGCATGGAACTTTAAAAATTACAATACAATCAGAAATAACTCTTTAAATTTAGTTTTCAACAGAACACTATATATATATATATATATATATATAATACCATATCATATCATAGCATATCATAGCATATCAAATAATAACAAAGATTGAGATCTGTGAACAGGAATTAGCAAAACATACCCTAGTATTGGAAGAATTCAAAAATCAATAAAATAATAATAATAATAATAATAATAACTAATGCCTTGCTAATGGTTATTTTCCCATCTCATTTTCCAAAGAGACGATGCCCTAGAATCCATCAAAAGCAGTTGCTAAGCCTTCATATGCAATGGAGTGGCAACATTGTAATAGAAACAAAGAAGGGGAAGAAGGGGAAGGGCAAGGGAGATGACTCATAAGGCCTTGTAAGTGCTAGTACAAGGAGGTCAATTTCCATGGCAACCAATTATTAATGGAGGGGAGACGGGCAATGCCACAAAGGAAGAGTCCCTATCATCTTCTAACAAACACCCCCTTCACGTCACGTTATAGTGATCCTCCCTTTCATCTCTCCCCTTCTCCTTGCTCTTCCTTGACTTCGACTTGCTAGGCCTTTGTGGGGTATGAGAGGGGCCTTGTTGTTGATGATGTAGTAGTGGAAGTGGAACTAGGGTGTAGGTTTTGAAGCGAGTAGAACTAGATGTAGAATGAGCTCCTAAGCATCCCTCCCTAGGGAAGAGGACATGTATGATGTGTCCTTGTCCTCTCAGCCTGCTACCATCAATGCCAATTGCCTTGCCATACAATGCACCCCATCGTGGTGCAATGCCCATGGTACTCCTTTGATTGTGATTTTTTATTCTTATACAGATATATATATATGTATATATGTATGTATATACATGTATGTATAAGAATAATAGATTTAAATTAAGAGTTATGTTTTAAGATAACTTTGATATACATTGTTTTATATTAAACAACTTTTGTTGAGTATTCACAAATATGTTTGTGTGTGACTCTAACTATTATTATTTTTCAAAAATTATGAATTAGTTTATAGTTTATTTTTCAAGATTATGTGTAAAATATGCAACTGTGTATATGCATGTTGCAATGTGTTATTGACATTTAGTTTTACAAATTATGATCTTGAATAGTTAAAAAACTATGGAACTTGGTGGTAAAATCATATATCTCAATGCATATTGACAGCTAAAATAGCCATGAAAATATTTAAAATTCAATTACAAAATAATGATTGTGATAAAATAAAATAAAAAGTAAATGTTTCCTTTTACAGAAATGAAGCAAATAGTGAAAATGCTTCAGAATATCCTTTCATGAAAAATCTCATGTATTTCTACATTGAAACAATGAGAAACTAGCAACCAATCAAATCCATTGAATTCACTGAAAGTGGGTTGGATTGTGATGCCATCCTCTTCCAAAAAGGTGAAGTGGTGAGTATAAGAAGGAACCACATTTTTTTGAAGTTTGAGTCAAAGGCTCCGAAGCAAGCAAGCACACTTGTGCACAAGAGGATGACATTTTTATGAGTGATCTACGAGTAGCCCCTCACACCATCCTCATTTGCCAAAGTTGATCTCAATTCCCACCCAAAATATTAAAAAAAAAAAAAAAAACATTGTTAATGGAGTATCCACCCACATTTCATTCAACACAAAAATGGGAGACAAAGGAGAAAGGATGGATATGG